TTAAGATTGCTTGGGCATCGCAGTCACAAGCAAAGTGACTGGACAAGAGTGCATGCGCACCCAAAAACACGTCTGTGAGTGTGTATGTGTGTGTGCATTTGTGTGTCAAATTGTCTCTGAACAGTGTCTTATCCCTGGTGCGCCCAAAGGCCTCCCCCAATGATATTCGCGACGACGGGCTGTGAGTAGGTGCAGAGATCCCGCGTACGCCGTCTGCGCCAGGCAACAAACTTGGCAGCGAGCATTGCGCAAAGCACCTGTCATGGAGCGTCATGTCCAATGCCGTGCAGGACGACCAAAGGGACAACGGTGCGGCTTGACCGATTGACGGGTGCAACCAACAGGGAAGTTGGGAAAAAGTAGAAGAAACAAGCCCGGCGCATCAGAGTCAGGTGGCAGCGTCCCAGTAATTCCGTGCTCGGCATCCGCGCCTGTCGCGCTCGCCAATGGCTGGGCACACACGCATGAAAGGACGCGGCCCCGCCGCCTCACTTGGCCCCGCCCTTGCCCAGCCGTTTGAAGAGCGCCAGGGGCTTCTTCAACTTGCCGCCGCCGCTGCTGTGGGCGGCCCCCGACGCCCCCTCGTCGCCGTCGTGCACGCTGCTGCCGCCGGCGACCGAGCCGGACCCCGCGGAGCGGCGGCTGCAGAAGTCTCCGGACGCCCGGCCGCCGCCCAGCGGCGAGGGGGACGCCGCCGCCGGCGATGCTGAGGCCGACAGAGAGCCGCCGCTTGCGCGCGGCGTCGGGGCGTCCTCCACGGCCGCGGCGGCCAGCGGCGCCCCCGTCACCGCCAGCGGCGCAGGCGCTCCCTCCAGCGCAGCGTCGATTCTGGCCGCGGCGTCCTCCTCGCCCTCATTGACCGCCGCCAGCGCCGCCGCCGCGGCCGCCGCCATCGAGCCCGACGACCGCTCGCCGGGCGCGGCGGCGGCCGCAGCGTCCGGGCGGGGCTTGTAGGCGGCGGCCGCAAACGCTTCCCGGCTGGAACTGCTCCGCTTGAAGGACATCTTGTCCTTCGCCTTTGAGAACATACCCTTCTTGCTGCCCGCGAGCGCCGCGATTATGGCGGCCTGGTTCTCCCTAAACGTGTCGAACTCGGCGCCAAAGGTGGAGCCGCGCCCGGTCAGGAGGTCAGCGGTGCAGACGCCGGCGGCGGCGGGCTCGCCGAGGGAGCGGTAGGCGATAGCCCAGGCGAAGCTGAGGGCCTCGATGGCGCTGTCCATGGGCATCGCCTGGACCTTGTCCTGCGAGGGGGGGAGTGCGTGTGTGTGTGTGTGTGTGTGTTTTGTGTGTGTGTGTGTGTGTTTTGTGTGTGTGTGTGTCTGTGTTTGGGGTTTGTGTGCAGTGGCCCTTGACGTTGCTGTGCACCATAGGGAGGAAGGGCGGCTGCGGCGCAGAGTTGTTGCGTGGCACACGCGCCCACGGGTGGTGCAAGGCGCCGTGTGTAAACGGAGCCGCGCCCACGCCCCGCACCCGCCAACCGCGCCCATCGCCCCGACCCGCACCCGGCGCGCCGTTGCGCTGCACCCCCCTGCCCCCGCCGAGAGCTGTTCGCCACGCACTGCACGCCGCCGAGCCGACGCTCGCGCCCCCCCGCACCTGATCGTTCCTCACAACCAGGCCCCAGCGCTCCAGGCGCGGCAACGAGTCCTGCACCTGGAAGTCAATGCGGTGGTCAAACTCGCGCACCAGGAACTCCTCGCACAGCCCGTCGAGCTCCTCCTCCTGCAGGGGCGCAGCAGGCGTTTCGTTGCATTGGTGGTGAGGGGAGGTCAGACGTCACCCGGATGGGGTGACGAGGGTTGCTGCTGCTGGCAGGGGGGCGGATCTGGGTTTACAAACAGCGTGCAGCCGCCGGGGGTTGGTCAAGCGGCCCCCGAGAGGTGCAGGTCTCAGGCGGCAGCTGCGCCGCCAGAACATCCGGCTTGGTGGTGGGGAGGGCCCCTGGGGGATGAGTGCCGGTGGGCTCAGCCGAAGCTCCAAGGCAGCATGCCAGGGCGATTGCAAGCAAGCAATACTGCTCGGCAGGCGACACTGCTCGGCAGCAGCCATGTGCGCGGTGCGTGTGCGTGCGCGTGTGTGCATGCGTGTGCCTCGCCTTGATGGCTCTGTCCTTGAGCATGAGCAGGGTGTAGGCCAGCAGCATCTGCTTGAACTGCTGGTCTGCCATCTCCTCCATTATGGCAGACACCTTTTGAGGGGTGAGGGGCAAAACGAGACGGGATATGAGTGGGAGTGAATCAGGGGTGGTGCCTTGCAGGTGTTTGCTAGTCCAGCATTGGAACGTCTCACAATCACACTTGCGCACGTCCGCATGCACGCTAGCACGCCTCTGCACGCATGCACGCACGCGGATTTGCTTGTGGGTGCATGCGATGCACACGCAAACACATAGAAGCACACAACAGGCACACAGAGCAACCACCTTGCAAACGCACTCGCTCGCCTGCACACACACCCCACAACCATGTGCACGCATGTGCGAAGCAAAAATCCTACATACTCCCTCCCATGCGGGCACCCACCACGCCCTCCTGGGAGTCCTGCATCTTGTCGTACAGCTGGGAGCTGATCTCGTGCTGCATCTGGCTCTTCTGCCGCTGGGCGTCAGAGTACACCTGGGGCAGGGGCCGGCAGCAGGGCGCACGTACCCCGGGTGGGATCCGGCGGGCGGAGCGGGTTTGAAAAGGGGCCTCTCTGCTCGGCCTCCTCACATGCAGGGAGCGCTCTGCAGGCTGCCGGTACGAACTCATTATCGAGGAGACTGGGGCGCCAAGGCAGTGGCAAGCGCTGGCTGTTGGGAGTTCCAGGACACTCGTCGCCCACCCCCCAGACAGGGTGTGCGCCAACAGGTGACGACGGGGCAGTCGAGCTGGGCAAGGGGGATGCAGGAGGAAATGGCGCCAACGCACCTGAAAGCAGCGCGTCAGCACCAGGCTGCCCGCGGTCCAGATGATGTTCATGCTGATGTTGTTGCCCGCCTTCATTCGGCGCGGTCAACATTTTCGGGTTAGCGTGAGTGAGTGTGGGGGCCGGCGTGGGGTTGGCAGCTGGGGTGCCCGCAGGCGGAGCGCAGGGGCCACAGCTTGCCTGAACAGACAAGTGAGGCCATGCCTGCTTACTGTTGCCCAACTCAGGCTCAATATTCACCTGCTCCACTACCCGCATGCCCCTCCCCTCCCCTTCTCCTCTTGCC